ACTTGGATTGTGAGCCGCCCTGAGTCCCCTTCGGGGAAAAGGGAGGCATATAAATGCAATAAATTCAATTCCATTCTTTCTTGGTTGCTGAGGGAGGCTGGCTTGACAGTATTCCTATTGTGTGGTTATCAACATTAAAATATCAACTTTCCAAGCTGGAAATACACTGACCTGCTCTTCCCATGTCTGGGTCTCCGCTCTCTTCAAGAGGAACTCCTCTGCTAAGGACACTGCATGGACACAGGTTTCTGGGCCATTTCTCCTGAGCCAGTTTTGTATATCCAAAGGCAAGGCAGAGAGAAACTGCTCCAAGATGACCAAGTCCAAGATCTGCTCCTTGGTGTGTTTCTCTGGTTTCAACCACTCACGACAAAGTTCTTGAAGCTGCTGGCAAAAATCTTGAGGTCCCTTGGCCTCTTTGTAGCCCAGGGTCCGAAAACGACGGCATCTTGCCTCTGCTCTGATGGCTCCTTCAGCCAGTTCTCCAATCTTCTCCTTCCCACCATGGCCAACATCCAGAAGGGTGTCCCAATCCTCTTGAGTTGTCCCAAGACAATGAGCCTCCATTTGGGAAATACACATTTCTTTCAACCATTTGCTGGCATCCATCCCTCCTTGGGAGGACATCCCAGATAATTTTGGACCACTCCAGAGCTTTGGCTCAAGGCACTGTGGAACTTCACTTCTTCCCTGAGGCTCCTCCAGTGTCTTCAGAAACTCCTGCAACTGGGCATCCCAATTCTTTGATGGATTTTCCTCTAGCTCTGCTTTCGCATTACGCCCTGGTTCTACCTTGCTTTTTCCAATGTTTAGAAAATGTGTTCTTCCTTCTCCTGGCTTGGGGTCAATGGAGTCCCGTCCTTCCATTTTTATTTCAGGATCCATATTGTGATGTAGCAGAGACTGGGACACCTCTGCCTCTTGCGCAGTAGACATTTTCTCCTTCAAGGGCTGGCCTGTTCTATTGTTGCCTTTATTAGCAGCATTCCTCAAAGGCTACTGCGGCATTATGCAACAGGTTTGACGCATTCAATGAAACTTATTCACCGATCAAAGAATCAGCATCTTCCACAAGTGCTTTCCCCGGAGAAGGAAAAGTACTAAGATAGAAAATAAGAGAGAAAAGACATTGGAACCAAAGCTCTGTTTTTCTGTGAACCTTTTTACAAAGGCACTGTTTACTATGGTAGTAAGCCAAAAAGGAGGTGGGGAGTATTGCGTTTATTATAAGGAACTGTTCTGATCACCCTCGTTCCACACCAAAGCTCACCCCGAGCCAAAGATAAGTTATGGCATTTAATTAACAGACAGACAGGTCCT